AAATATTGAGCCTTTTGAGGTTACATTTCAGTGAGAACAAAGACAAACCCCAGTGAGTGGGCTTGAAGATATTATGTGAAAGAGAATAAAATTACTTATGATGGTACTTCATGAAGACTTTGAAAATGAGAAGCACCTATTACAACAGTTACTGATGATATTTTGTTTTCCTTGATGAGAATATGTTTTGAATTCTGTAAATCTTTCAACCTGAACCAGCCAGGTATAAACCTACCCTTTTCAAAGAAGTTTACAATCTATTATTAAATATAGTACTGTATTATATTATATATGTTAAGACTAGGGTTGGTGTTTATGACAGAACTTCAAAATAACAGAGGCTTAGAAAATGTAATTTTATTTCTCTTTATGTTGAAAAAGGAAAAGGTGATGCCAGACTGGCATGGAGAGTCCAATGTCATTAGGACCTACAGCTTTTTCTATCTTACATTCCATTGTCTTCATGCAATTTTCACCTCATGATATAAAACATGCTCCAGCTCTAACCATCGTATCCACATTCTAGTCAGTAGGAAGGAAAAACAAGAGAAGGAAAAGAGCATGATGACTGCCATTAAGGACATCTCCTAGAAGTAAAAGATGCTCATCATGGCTGCTATGTTCCATTGGCTAAAAAAATAGTCATGTGACTGAAAAACATAGTCTATTCTGGCTAGCCATATGCCCCAGATAACCTTCAGGAGGTCAGTTACCCAGAAAAAAGGGGAGAATAAATATTTGGAGAAAACAACATTCTTTGCTTCAAGCCTAGAAAGAAAAAACTACATTGTTTGGGCAGTGTATTTCCACACATGTCTTAAAACCTCAGAATGTGGGACAGGAATCATTTACTTATTTATTTAAAATTTTTTATAGTTTATTTATTTTTGAGACAGAGAGAGACAGAGCATGACTGGGGCAGGGGCAGAGAGAGAGGGAGACACAGAATCCAAAACAGACTCCCGGCTCTGAGCTGTCAGCACAGAGTCTGATGCAGGGCTCGAACCCATGAACCGTGAGATCTGACCTGAGCTGAAGTCAGACACTTAACTGACTGAGCCACCTAGGCACCTCAGGAATCATTTAAAGTATCCACTTTCCCTACCTTCTTGAGTGTCTTGACTATGCCGGGGCATCCAATATATGAAACAAAATTAAGCTGCAGTCTGCTAATTTACATATGAAACAGAAAATTTTAGAAGATTACACTCCTATACAGCAATAGTGATTATTTTGTTTCATTATTCATCCCTGTCCAGTATATGCCATCTCTACTTCTACTAAGATTTCCCGGTTATTTACTTCATGCCAGAAGTAAGACTCACATATTTTACTTAAACCATGTACTCTTTCTTTCTTTTTTTTTTTTTAAGGTCTCTTATGGGCAAAGTAATTATTTCTTTAAAAGATCTGCAGCTTATGAGCCTTTGTTACCCTTGGAGGAATCCCCCTTCAGAACTTAGAAAAAGAAAATTCTCTGAGGAATTAACTCAGATGCATGAGTTATTGTGGATTACAGTATCTATTTTATTCCCATTTCTGTCAGATGTCATTCAACTCCTGTTGATTCAGCAGTTCCTTACCTTCATTTCGATTTAGGCAGGGTAGCTGCCTGAACACTCATGGCCAAGACCACCACAGTCTTCCTTGGTCCTTTTCATGGCTTACAGATGCCTTGGGACTTAATTCTGTCCATAGATTTGGAAGGTTGGATAGTCTTGCTTATTTACCTCAGACAGTGGAAACAACGACCAAGGGAAAACTCTGTTTAGCAAAAGGCTGTCCATTACATGAAAGAATCCTCTTAATAGACACTCATCATTATCATTTTGGCCTTATCATCAGGCCATTGTATGGTCTCTTCATAATTCAATCTTAAAGCAAAATATAATAAAGTTAATCACTATTGGTTTAAACTAAATTCTTTCTACCTTAATTGGTTCGTCTTCTAAATGAATTAATGGCCATGATAGTTGATCTGGTTGCATGGATTAAGGAAAGTCTTAGAAAAGATCCAGGTGTCATTTTTTTTTCCCCAAAAGGACCTCTTTTGGGAGGAATATAGATTTACTCAGGTGGCTGGGAGACAAAGACATGAGTATATTATCTTATTGTATCCAGAAGTTCAGTTATTATTTTTACTTCCAGTGAAAGCCTCTAAATAATTCAAATGATTCCTGATTCAAGACAAATTTCAGCCATCCTCCAAAGCAGAAAGAACAGTGTTCCTTCAGCTCTTGCCCAAGCTCCTCCTGGAGTTCCTCAAGTTCTGGGCTCAGGACACAGCTGGGCTTGTGACTCTTCCAGCTCCCAGTTGGTCTCCTTCCTCATTTTCTTCAAGTCCTGAACTAGGTATATGTGCACATCCACGGAAAAGTATATTCGCTTCCTCTGCAGGTCACTTATGTCTCAAGGACTGAGATATAGATGTGAGTTCCAATTCTTCCTTGCAGGTTCTAGTTGGTTCTTGCTGTGCTCTACTTCCACTGGAACATTTCTCCTGGCTGTCAGTAGTGATGACCTTCAAAGCTATTCCAGCTTGGAAGGGGCTTCTCGACCTTTACGTCACAGTATCTACCATTCATTGGATGCAGGTTTCTCCCAGGAAGGGGCACGATCTTGGCAAGGAATCTTTCCAGGTGACTGCAATTCCTGCAGAGGTGGGCAGCTGGGGTCTGTCATCCAGAAGCATTCCCAAAAGCTTGAGGTCAGTGTCCTTCAGTTTTGAAGATTCTGTAAAAAGCAGGGGACATTTTGTTGCTTCAAAAGGAGTGCACTTTAGAAAGCTTGGTCCTCTCAAAAGACCTAGGAAAACCTGCACACCAGGTCCCCTCGCGCCAACTGGTCCTGGAGGGGGCTGAGCACACAAACTGCTTCTTTGTGCTGCTCCTGGAGGCTAGACTTCAGAGTGGTGGCGCGCCTGCCGCCATTGTAGCTCCCGGGCGGCTGGGGCCCCTGAAAGAGCCGCGCAGACACTGGGCATCCGCGCCCCTGGCTGGCTGGGACTCGAGAGGGAAGGCAAGGAACTAAAAACTGGGAAATTAGCCTGTGAGTTCGTGTTTTGGGTGACGAGCCATAGAGGGACCCGGTTTTCCTCACTCCCAACCATGTACTCTTTCTAAGGCAAGATACATGACTAGCATCCACCACTCAGAGTTTATGGGATTCAGTTCCCAAAAGGACCCTACAAGGAGACTGAGGATCAGAGAGGGTAAGTGACTTACTCAAAGAGATACAACTTAGTAAATGATAGAAATGGGATTCCAACACATGTTTCTTTATCTCAAAGCCCAAACATGCTTTGTTTATTATGCCATTCATACTTCAATATATTTCTCTTAAGTGTTTTATGGTCCTTGTCTCTTTTAACTGTCTAATCCAGTTTGGTGATTATTCATTCAACACATTTTTTTAGAACATCCTTTATACACACTAGGCTCCATAATGGTTGCTGAGTATATAACACCAGCAAAACCACACATAGCTGTTACCATCATGGACTTTCTACACTAGTGGGGAAGACAAACATCAATCCAAAAGTCATCCTCCAAAATGTACAATGACAACTGTCATAATGGGTATAAAGAGAAAGCATAAGGTATCATCTGTGTATAATTGTTGAATTTGACTTTGGAAAGCAAGGAAGGCTTTCCTGAGGAAGTGACATGTAGGATAAGACTTATAGTTGGGGCATCTGGGTGGCTCCGTTGGATAAACAGCTGACTTCTGCTCAGGTCATGATCTTGCATTTGTGAGTTTGAGCCCTGCATTGGGCTCTGTGCTGACAGCCAGCTCCGAGCTTGGAGCCTGCTTCAGATTCCATGTCTCCCTCTCTCTCTCTGCCCTTCCCATGCCCATGCTTTGTCTCTCAATAATAAATAAATGTTAAAAAAAATTTTTTTTAAAGACCTGCAGTATAATTTAGCGTTAAAAGAGGCAAAGCAGGGGAGAGATGTCATCAGGCAAAATGAGATGTTCAAAGAGGTATAAGGAGCTTTCGTGAAGGCTGGAGTGAGAGCATGTGAGCAAGCTGGGAGACGAGACTGGCAGGAAGCCCTGCCTTGTGTGGGGGCACTGTTTGAGCTCCAGTTTTTTTCACAGATGGAAAACCTGAGGCTCAGAGCTCTTGAGTAATATGCCTACAGCCTCACAGCTAGTTAGGTGTTGGACCCAGAATTCAAACTATGGTAGGTAGAATCACGGATCCCCTAAAGATCCTCTCAAAGCCTAATCCCTGCAACCTATGAATGTGAAGGTTACATTACAAAGAGAAATTAACATAGAAGATGAAATTAAAGTTGCTAATAAACTGACCTTAAAACAGGGTGATTATTTTAGGTTATCTAGGCAGGCCCAGAGTAATCTCGAAGTCCTCAAATTTGGAAGAGGGAGACAGAAGAGCTTACAGTTATATAAGGTGAGAGGACTTGACTAGCTGTTATTAGCTTTGAAGATGGAGGAAGGGGACCCTGGGCCAGGAATGTGGGTGGTCCTAGAAGTTGGTCCTAGGAGCTGAAATGGCAAGGTAACAGATTCTACTCTAAAGATCTTCCAAAAAGGACTATAAGCCTGCTGAAACCCTGATTGTAGCCCAATAAAGCTCATTTTAGACTTCTGAACTACAGAAATGTAAGATAATACATTTGTGAGTCACTAAATTTGTGATGATTTGTTACAGCAGCAACAGGAAACTAATACACAAAACTTAATACACAAACATGGGCTCCAGAGCCCATGTTCCTACCCCCTGTGCAACATGCCTTAATTGTTAGATAGGCTAAACCAGGAACTGTAAAGATTAAACTCTAATGCTTCCTATCATTCTGACTTTCAGAATCTTCAAATATCATTTCCAAACCATGCAGCAAAGGGTATGTATAGTTTTTACATATGCCTCTTAGTTTTGTGAATTTCGAAAGGATGTGGTTACGGCCTTTGACATCAGAGGAGAAGCTCCACAGTGTTGACTGAACACTGATAGAAAGATAACATCGAAGGCAAGAGGCATTTTAACAGCTCTCTGAAAGTCAACTGCCTCCCCAGAGTGCATTCCTTGCCCTGAAGCTGTGTCCTCTGGCTGTGCTACGGGGTGATGCCCAAGGCGCATCACTCCTCAAGAACTGGATCATGAACAACTTTATCCTCCTAGAAGAACAGCTCATCAAGAAATCGCAACAAAAGAGAAGAACTTCTCCCTCCAACTTTAAAGTCCGCTTCTTTGTTTTAACGAAAACCAGCCTGGCGTACTTTGAGAACCGTCATGGGGTATGTGAGCACTTGTGTCTTATCTTTTTCTAAACAGTATTTTTCATTTGGACTAGGCTGAATCGTGAAGCTATACACAGAATAAAATAAAACCAAAGGGGGCATAGGCATGCTGGTTACGACAGCCTAAAAAGTACCATGACAGCCTAAAAAGTACCATTAGAGTACTCAGAAGAGAATGTGGAGAAAAGCCCAGAGGTGGGGTTGTTGTATTAGGTGATTTAGTTCTAAAATCTGCAAAAGAGTAAGTTTAATATTTATTAGTGGTTTTCTTTCCTGCAAGTTTAATCTTAAAATTATAATAATTAATGTGGCAAATGTTACGATTGGATAGAATTTGAAATTCATCTGAAATACACTATATTTTATGGGGCATAGATGAATCATATTAGCATTCAGTGGGACCTACGGGATGATCTAGCCCAGTTTTCTTAATTTATAATAGAGGAGACCGATACTTGGAATGGTTAAGGGATAGTTCAGTGTCAACATTTTTATGAATTTACTTCTATTTGTCCCAATGTTCATTACTCACTTAATATCGTGAAATAATATTTCCTGGGCATCTAGTTACCTAAAATTTGCAAGGCCCGAAAGTAAACCTCTTTACCCCATGGAAAATTTACCAGGAGACAAGTTTTTACATTGTTATGCAGTATAGACCAGTGGTTCTTACCCAGGAGATTACAGCTGCTTAGCTAGGTCAGTCTCTTCATATAGCTAAAGATAGCCTTATATTCTATAACATCAGTGATAATAACAGCAACATGAATAATCATAACAATATAGTTAGGTACAAAAAACACTGCATGCAGAGAAAGGAGACCAAACTCTATTTCTCTAGGTGACTGAGGCTTGGTACATGTCTCTACCTTTTGTATCAGATTCTTCCTTTACAAAATGAAAGGTCTGGAAGTAGTACCTCCAACACTTCTTTCTTTAAAAATTCTAGCACCTGTTTCATCCTTTGTAGCTAGTTTTCAAAGCATATGTGTGACTTTGTACTAAATCATTGTATTAGTTTTTCCATCATTAGGGAGATAAGGCAGGGTTTTCACCTATATTTTCCTGACGGGTAAATAACCTTAGGTACTTTATGGTCAGAGACAAAGGCATCCCATACCTTGTTAGGACCTGACTTAGTAGGATAAGCATGAGTTTGGGACCTTTGGAGAGCCAGGCTTTGAAGGGCTCAATGAAATGCAGCCCTGATGGAGGCCTGGGTATAGAGCCTATGGGTGTTGAAATATTACTACTTCTTAGGGGTTCAGACATGCTCATCTTCAGGAGACTCTCAGTGATATCAATCAATAATCAATCAGAAGGTATAGAGAAATACTTAGGTAACTGATTTGCACACAAGCATGCACTATGTCTCACTTATAAATACACTTGTGGGAAGAAACTTTTTTCAAAAAGAATTTAAAGCTTCCGGGCACCTGGTTGGGTCAGTCGGTTAAGAGTCTGACTTTTGATTTTAGCTCAGGTCATTGATCTCACAGTTGCTGAGCAGAGCCTGCTGAGGATTCATTCTCTCTTTCTCTCTCTCCCCCCTCTCTCTCTCTGTTTTCCAAAAATAAATAAATAAGCATTTAAAAAATTAAAGCCTCAGTCTTACCATGTGTAAAGTGGGTATGATAATAGTACTCATTTCATGAGAATATGGTAAAGGTTAACAGAGAGAATGTATTTAGACTGAACTATTTGAAATGACCACTCAGTGGATCAAGACAGGCCAGACAGTGGTGATTTCAAATAGTTCAACTTAATATGTGAAGTGCTCAGCATAAGTTCTGTGTCACCTAGTAAACACCTAGTAAAAATTAGCCATTTTTTATATCATCATCATTTCTCTGAAGGAGCTAGCAGGGTGGCATAACACATTTATTTTCAAATGAAGGACAACATTCAAAGTCAGGCTAATGTCAGGGTCCCGGATTCCCTCTATTCTGTGACTAAGTACAAGTCTGCGGAGAGAGACATACATATATGCATTACAAAATGTATGACACTGAGCCAACCATTGCCCCTCTCGGGGTCACAGCTTCTTTTTCTTTTTTCTCATTTGTAAAATTAGGCTCCTTGAAGTTTTAAAAAACTGTGGCTTTAGGACATCATACAAAAAACAATCCTACTGCCTACTCAGAAAAGAATCCCGTACTTTTGCAAATTAAGTATGTTTTTTCTAACTTTAAATATCCATTTTCTAATTTTAAATATCCGTGCCTAAATATCCATAGCGACTGGGCCTGTTATTTTAACACAGATTTCGTTCCGGTGTCTAGCGTTGAAATGTGTAAGTGTTTTCAGTGGTGCCAGGAAGTGCCTCACCCTGCTGGCCCAGAAAGAAGCATAGTGTCAGCAGGTGGTGGCTCACTGGCAGGCATGCTTTCAGACACCACCCTGTGCCTGCCAATTCTTTGCAAAGTGGTCCCTGATGCCTAGCATTCATTAACAGAGGACAATGAGATTAGGGCCCCTCATGTGCTGATACATGTTTAACTAGCCTGTAGTGGTAGTGGTTGCGGAGAGCATCAGGCAGCTCTAATGCATAGTGTTTGCTGATTTCTCTGGTGTAAACACTCCCATCATGGCCAATTTCAAACTACTGATGTGATGTCTACTGGCTCCCAAAATTCCTCCAGATTTAACGGTCAGCCCAAGCCAGCTCCAACATTCCAATGTGGCTTTAAACACAAACACTCTCCGGAGATGCAGTCACCAACCAAGCCACGTGCTGAATTGCACAGAACTGACCTCAGATCATTTCCAGGGGTAGAAGACAAATGGAGGGCCTTGGGTAGTTCAGGTTAGTATGGGACAGAAGGGATAGCACAGATGGACACAACCATCACTGATTGGAGAGGACAGTATAGCCAGGTAGAGCTGGATTCAAATTCTGGCTTTATCACTTTCTGGATGTGGGGTCTCAGGCAAGGTATTTAAACCTTTTAAAGCTTCTGTTTACTATCTGTAAGGTGAGGACCCCAATGCCTCCAGACGATGTTGAGTATTTCATGAGGAAGGCATGTTATAAGCTTGGCACTAATGGTAGTACCTTGACCTTCTGAGGGACCCTCAGGAGAACTGGAAAGGTTTCCCTGTTTTAATGTCTCTGCACCTCAGGGATCAAGCTTGTTCTGCTCACCATAGTGTGGGAGCCATTACCTGTATGTGGGGCAGTCAAGACTACCATTCTCAGTGTCCGTTTTGGGTCTCCACTCCACATGGACCCTTCCCATTAGCTGGCAGTCTAACCTTGCAGCAGAGACATCTCTTGGAGCATGCATCCATCTTAAATTAAAGATGACAGGTGAGGAGATGGTCCCCTTTCCTTGCTTTTCTTTGCACAGCAGTCAAACACACAGCTTCTGGGGTCAGACACATCTGGGTCAAAAACCAGCTCCTCACTTAAAAGCTATGCAGCTTTGTGTAAGTTGCTTAAGGCTGTGTGACTCTGTGCAAATCTAAATAGATGTGCATTAGTCATTTTTTGTAATGACTAAACATTCCTTCTTGATCTTGCTGCCTTTTAATGAGAGAGAGGTTACCAATTATTCTAATAATAATAGGAACTAATACTGACCTAACATTTACTATGTATCAGTCACCATGCTAAATGCAGATTATTTCATCTACTCCTTACAACCACCCTATAAATTAGGAAGTATGATTACCCTAATGTACAGAGCAGGTAACTGAGGCAAAGAAAATTCAAACAACTTGCACTGGAAGAATTTAAACTCCCATATGTCTCTAAGGCCTACACAGCCCGCCGATAAATGGTGCTTATTACTATTAGCAGCAGTGACCCATGGGTAATTAGGGCCTCCACTGGGTTATTGCAGGGCATGTAAAGTCCTCAGTGGAAAGGGCAGTCCTGCAAGTCAGCAACCCAGGGCACACGGACCTTCTGCAGTGACGCATGTTAGGAGCTCTATCATTTCCACACACACTTGAGGACAGATCTTTGTCCTCATTCACTTCAGGGAGCCCCACTATGTGTTCAAAAATAAATGAAAGCTTTGGCAAGTTTTGCCTCCTAAAGTTCCTCTAAAATCTGTCTACTTCTCCCCATTTTCTACGGTCACCTTCCTTGGGAAATCCGCCAGCAGCTCTCACCTGGGACTGCCATCACCTCCTAATGGTCTCCCTGCTCTCACTCTGCCCCAGTTACCCACCAGCAGCCAGCATGACACACTGTGACTGTGACCACGTCCTGACGATCCTTATCAGCAGCAATATGTCCCTGCAAAGGTTCTCACCTTAGATCTAGAGCAGACACTAAAGTCTATCACATGCCACCCTCCCTCTCATCTCATGTCCCTTTTTCTCCCATCACTCTAGAATCCAGCTACATAAGATTTCCTTCAACTTTAAGTCCCTCATTTTGAATATCACTTGCCCCAGGAAGCCTTCTTTGATTTCCCCAGACGAGGCCATCTACTCCTGTTATGCTCTGCCTTAGCACTGCCTACCCTCTCTTCAGAGCACATCCCAGACTTGCAATTACCCGTTTATTAAAGTGATTACTGTACTAACGTCATCCCCCCAGCCTACCCTCCATTAGATTACAAGCTTTCTGAAGACCAGCACCCAATTTGGTAAAGACGGCATCATCAATGTTTATGACAGTGCCTGGCACATACTGCTCACTCATTCATTATTTGTGAAAGGAGGACAAGGAAGGTGACAGCAAGGACATGAGGGATAGATATACCTTTGGAGGAGGCAGAGTTCCACAAATGAACCCCTAATAGAACAAGGCTTGATTTCAGAATAGAGAACAAAGCAAGTTATACGGGACTTCAAAAGGAAGAGTCCTCGGGGTAAGAGTTAGAAAATAAGAAGTGCATGTTGCAGCCTTAAAAGAGGAAGAAGAGGATTCAGGAGGTTGACATTTTAAGAGCTGGATCAGAGAGGCACATGGAGGAACCAGCGAGTGGGCCAGCCCACCAACCCTACCCCCTACTCTGTTCTCTTTTTCCCTCCACACTCTT